CTTTAAGAAACATGCTGAGAAATCTGAGGAAGTGTTTCTGTATGTCACTTAACCGTCAATGCTGGATGAAAGAACGCCTCTTTCAAAGTGAGCCACAAGCTCACTTTCGAAATCTGAATTTGTTTCAGAGCATTCCTACACCTAACTTGTTGGAAACGCAGAGTTTCTGTAATAGTGGAACTACACTACTTACATATCTAAGAGGATGCTCTCGCTCCAACGTGGTTTTCCACAGCAAACTGCTTTTATTTTGAAACCGGCATTAGTAAACATGCGGAGAAATCAGAGAATGAGTTTCTACATGTCACTCTGCCTTTTATGCTGCATGAACGAACGCCTCTCCACATGCTCTATTTAGAGATATGTATATGTGTGGAAGCCTTCCTTCACCTAGCTTGTTGGGAACCCAGAATTTCTGGCTTTGGGAAGCTTCGCTGCTGTCATATATATGGGAATGTACTGGAACCAACTAGGTTTTCCACTGCAAACCACTTTTAGTTGAAACAAGCTGTGAAAAAATTATTGAGAAATCAGAGATCGTGTTTTTTATGTCACTTAACCTTCAATGCTGAATGCAAGAACGCCTCTCCACATGCTCACTTCTGACAGCTGAGTGTGTTGGAGCCATCCTTCAGCTAATTTGTTGGAAACACAGAGTTTCTCGTATAGGGGAAATACGCTACTTACATATCAAAGGGGAGACACTCGCTCCAACGTGGCATTCTAGTAAACCGCTTTTACATGGAAACTATCATTAGGAAACATGCTGAGAAGTCAGAGAATGTGTGTCTAGAAGTCCCTTTGCCTTTTATGCTGGATGAAGCAACGATTCTCCACATGCTCAATTTTCAGAATTGTATGAGTGTGGAAGCGTTCTTTCACCTAGCTTTTTGGAAACACAGAGTTTAAGCCAAAGGTAGACTACGCTGCTTTCATATATATGGGGACCTACTAGCAAGAACTAGGTTTTTCATTGCAAACCGCTTTTATTTGAAACCGGCTTTGGGAATCATACTGAGAAATCACAGTAATTGTTTCTGTAAGTCAATTAACCTTCAATGCTGGATGAAGGAACG